AAAAATAAAAACTTAAACATTACAGTTGAAGATGAAATTAAATGGACACCTTACTGCAAGTTCTTGGAAAGAAATTAGGGTTCATGCAACCATGTGGAATTGCTAAGCATTCTACAATCCTAGGTTGGATTTGTAACGCCCAAAAGATACCAAAATAATAATAAAAAATATATATATAATTTCGGCATGACCTCTGTAGAAAAAGTCTATATACAATCTGTTGAAATACAAAAATAAATGCAATGGCCTCACTGGGCCTTAAATTTAACCTATCATGTCCCAACGTATAATACAGATGTTATATTACATTCCCAAGATAGTTATATACATACAAAAGTCCCGTTCCTCCATCTCATCCAAATAAGGGATACATTTTAGTTACATCAATTTACAATCCAAAAATGTAGTTAGAATTTAAAAGTCCATAGCTTACAACATTATACTAATTAAACTCTAAGTTTCACAAGATAGTTAAAATTACATTTACAAAATGTTATAGTTATAATACAAAAGATAGTAATATGAAATAGGTCTTTGTGCTCGTCTAAAATCGTGGTGGATTATCGTCCGCCACCTCTTTTCCTTATTCTGAAAAATGTTAAAAAAAATAATGGGGTGAGTATAAGCTCAGTAGAAAGTGTTTAAGACACACTTCTTATATCCATGTGAATTTCACACAAAGAATGGGCAAAAAGAAACGGTGTCATACCATGAGGAAAACATAATCTCAACCACAGCAACAAGAATCTAGCAAATGTCAACAAATCACAAAATTTTCCCACAATATCATGAAGTGCAATGTTATGCAATGTCGCTCCCCGTTTCCGAAACAATTCCGTTTCAACAATCAAACCGTTAGTGTAATCCGACCCAAGGCACCTCCAAGGCGTCACGAAAGGAAGGTTGACTAACTATCCACAACCACAAGGCACCTCCAATGCGTCGCATCCGGCCTAGTTAGCTCAACCATACTCCCTTCTAGACTACACTAACAACACGGATTACTAGGCGCCTCCTAAGCATCCGATTTTTGCAAACACCTTTGAAAATATTTTCCCAAAAAACAATTTCATTTAGTTTAAAACATTTTTCCCTTTTTCTTTCCCAATGGATACATGAATGCTTCATACTTCTAATCATCAATTTAACTATAGGCTTTCACACATTCCTTTTGCATCATCATCACAATTTAATAAGAATTTCTAAACATTCATTTTATTTATTTATTTATAATCACAGCATCAATTCTTTCAAAGCAATAAGCAAATAAATAAATAATCATAGAACATACAACATATCAACACTAAGCATCAACACTAAGCATGCTTATTTACCGCAATAAAAATAGACATATATATGAACTCAAATAACACATAGAACACATTTATCATTTTGATTACACATAACTACAACAACAATAAACTAGATAATTTAAAATTAGCATGCTTAGGATCAAATTTATAGAGAAAAATTCACAAAAGACCCAAGAAGTTGTAAATTAGAATACCCTTACCTCAAATTGATGAAAACCCCCAATTTGAACTCAAGAACCCTAGAATTTTGAATTCCCTAGAGTGTACCAAAACTGAAATTGCTTATACCCACTTGAAGATCTCGCCGTGCTCTCCGTTTTGCCGCAAATGGCTCTCAAAAACTCCAAGAAATGAGGAAGTAATCAAAGATAGAAGATGAAGAAGAAAAAAAAATTCGTTCCAGCGAAAGAGAGATATTTGGTCTGGTCTGCCGAAAGGTAATGTCGTTACCTTTGATATAATAGGAATAGGAGGTGGGTTCCACAGGTATATAAATATTTATTTAACTTTATATATATAAACATTACACGATCATCATCATCATCTTTGTCCTTTTTTCGAATAGATATAAACATTACAGGATCATCATCATCTTTGCCCTTTTTTAAAATAAATGGGTTGGCCACATAAATTCTCCTTCTCCGTTGTATTCTGTTATACGGTATTTAACTTTCTTAAGTCATTTTTAATTATTTCATTCTATGTTAGTGTTGGTCCTCCCTCTTAAACTCTTATACCTTGTATACAAATTAGACTTTCTCTTTTTCACATATCACATATAACTACATATCAAATACACTTGCTCAATTGTTATCTTAAAACAAAAAATATCTCAATACACACCTTTCATGATTTATCATATAGGTTCTGGAATCACTGAGAGTATGAGTCAAAAATATCAATGCATGAATTTGAATGGCCATGAAAAAACTTTAATAACAGTGAATGTATGTGTTGTCGGAGTTAAACACCCAAAATCCTTTTTGGTCTAATGTAGGTTAATTATAGGTTTCAAAAAAATTAAACGCTACATTTTTAAAATGCCTTTAATCAAGACAAGGTACAAATACATAGCCAATTGCTGAAATTAGCATATTGTCACGCACCTTCTATTTGTAAAAAGTTGTGCCACACGGAAGATATGTGAGTATTGAGAAAGACTCTGTTCTACATGCCATAAGTATAATAAAATTATAAAGTCTTTCAAAATTATATGAAGATTATAGAATGTTGGAGAGAGCTTATAAATATGTATACAGTGCAACAAAGAATTTTTTAGAATTGTGAAAGAGGATGCCTATAAATAAGTGATTAGTGTCTTTTGGGATTTGTATAAAGTCTGAAAAGCTTAATTGCACCATAACGAAAACGCTCATTCATCATGCTGATAAGCAAAACTATAGAGGCTTATCATATATTGCAAAACTATAGAGGCTTATCATATATTGCTAAGGTTCATTCAAATGGGATGTAATACACAATGTCATGCAAAAAAATACTCATTTATACACCCTTATAATGATTCAACTTTATTAATAATTGTCATGAATTTATTTCGGTCAACTATCTTGACGTAACCCCTGCCTTTGTAATTATATGAAACCTGCAAATACCATATGCTAATTCAGACTTCTTGAAACAAACCTTTCACCAAAACATCACCTCCCAATTGATCAACACCACGTGGCCCAATTAAAATATTTTAAAAGGCAAACAGTGTAGTCCTAAAATTTAGTGGGTATAGTTTGTAAATGACCTGGAGATGAGATCAAGGAGTATGAAAAAATATATATATAAAAAATGCAAATGTCAAAAATAAATCAGTGAATCAATCATGTATGAATTGAAATATTAAATGTAGATGTGGTAAAAAAAAAAAAAATTAAGAGTACAAAACACAAAATGATCCCACATGCAAAGCTTCCAAGAACGACAAATAGCATGGCACTCTACTGAAACAATTTCATGTTTTTATTAGAAAAACAACAAAAAGACGTATAGTAATAAATCAGCAATGCAACACACTACATCATAATGCAACACTCATACAATAACAACAATCTAATACTTAATGCAACACATTTACATTAAAGATGTAACACCCGTACAAATTATTTCATCGTGTTATAACGTTACAATAACATTAACTCAAAAAATTAACTCCTTTATATAGTTGTTGCATTGACGAATTAAAGTTATTATATTGTCAATTTAAATGTACAGGACCAAAAAGATAGTCCCAAGAAGTAAACTTAGAAGGAAACCATAGCACGGGATATTAGAGTGAACAGGTCAATATTTGATTTCTCCATGTAAACACGCCTAAATTTGCAAAAATAAGTACACAAATGATTTCCTAAAATCTCAAGAAATAACTGCTTTAAGAATTCTTCACCATGTCAACTCCATTAAGAAATTAGAGTAATTCTGAAATTTACGACGTCATTAAAATATGTTATTTATTTTCATTTTCAAAAGTTCCAAATATTAATATTAATGCTAAAAATGTTTTGCGTCTTCAGACATGGTTGAAGGGTTGAGAGAGTTCTGTATTTTTTTTCACATTGTGTACCTCTTGAGGCTTTGACTTCTCAATCCCTTCAAAAACACTGATGCAATCTTCACACATGGAGCAAACTTTGCAATTGCTGGTTCTACAGCATTACCAACAAAGATTCTTGCGGTCAAGAACATTTCATCTCCGGTCACCGGCAGTTCTCTTAGCGTTCAGCTTGATTGGATGTTCACACATTTCAATTCCATCTGCTACGATGAGAGAGGTTGTTGATTCAATCAAATCAATTACATGAACTTGGAACTTCGCCGGGGAAAAATAATAATAATAATAATATTTAGTTCTTGTTACTAATAATTGTTTTCACAGATTGTGTTGAGAAGCTCAAAAACTCTCTCTTCTTGGTTGGAGAGAGAGAGATGAGGGAATGATTATAATTATGCATTGTTTCAAGGCAAATCCATGGAGGAGGTCCAGAGCATGGTGCCTGAACTTGTTGAAGTCATTATGGATGCTGTTAGAATGAGTATTTCTAAAAATCAATATATATATGTGTGTGTATAATTATTTGCCACTATCTATTTTAACTCTTATCTAATTATAATTCTATGAATTGGGTTGCAGAGAGTTATTCGGTATGGAGCAGTTCGAGTGGTTGTTCCCGGAAATTTTCCAATAAGTTGTCTTCTGATTTAAGACCAATGACTTGACGGCTTATGATGGAAATCATTGTCTGAAATCGTTGAACAACTTTTTGATGTATCACAATGATCGTCTGCAGAAAGCCATTGAAGATTTGACACGAGGCATACAAGGTTATGGCGGCCTTCGCCAACGACATATGTAGTCATTGAGAGTTGGAAATTATGCGGTTTGATTGATTGATTTGAACTAGTTAAAAAAATAATGCTTTTACAAAACAGTTGCAGGGTGTTTGGTGGTAATGGGTGTGGAGATCCAATTCCTTACCAGATTTTCATCTATTGCTTTAAATAGAAAAATAAGGGAGGGTTTATATAACCCAACACCTCCTTAACACACACACACACACACACACACACACACACACGCGCGCGGTTGGAGTTGTCCTGAGTGTGCAATATTGTAACTTTTATGTTAGCACAGTTTGGATTTATGTTTTGCATAAGCCTTTAATCCTTCAACAGTTATGCTTTGAGAAATATATATATATTTTTTCATTGCACAAAACATATCACAGTACTGATAAGGGTTGGGATGTCTACATACTACAACTATCCAAGAAAAAATCAACCACATTGCATTTTAATCTAAGCAAGAGACGCACCTAATAAAAAACAACATACAAAAAGGAAATGGAATGCAATATCTGTTTACTTAAAAGTCACCATTTCCCTTCACATCCTCCTCAACCATTGGAGCAAATAAGATCTTTTTCCAACCACGTATTTTCGCACACATTTTGCGCTTATGCTGCCCATTAAAGCATCAAATTTCTTTCCATTTACTTGCTTTGGCAGCTTTACTTGTATCAGCCACGACCACGACCTCCACCTGTAACCAAATTTCAATCCACTGATTATCTTAGAAAGCAACAAAAATGCAACTTTGTCAACAAATAGGCAAGTGCAGCACCATGCAAGTGAGGACCAACATAGACACAATTTTTCACATGGGGTTTCTTTTCTTACCAACTCCATAGCAGAATATACAAGCTGAAGAAAATCATGAATAGTGTGCATGGATACCATGTGTTATGATCACCATAAAACATGTTTTTAAAGAAATCACACGGTTGTGTTTGGATGAAAATCATCAGAAATGTGAATTAGGTTTACTGTGTTTGCCTCCTAGAATAGGAATAAATGAGTATAAATTTATACCTCTGCTGCCACCAGGCTTGCTACCAGACGCTCCCCTGCCCCGGCCTCCACCCATGCCTCTGCCACCTCCATCATCCATGCCACGCCCAATACCTTTTGCTGGCCTCCCACCAGGACCATCATCCCTACCTCTTCCTCTTCCACGCCCTACCCCAGGCGGTTTTCTGTCTGAAAAGGTAAAGTAGCAAAATTTGCGAGTGAGTATGAGTGATAAACAGCATTAATCACATCTTGAATTTTTTTTTTAACTATTTTAGTTTTCAATTCAAGTGGTTGCCATAAAACTAGAAATGCCTGCCAATTCATGTCGTCAAACATCTTTTATTTTCTCCTTCTTTTTGTTCACATGTTTTGTTTCTCAGAACTACATATAACAAAATATATAATAAAGATTTGGGATAAGTTCTACCCAGACGGCTCCATGGTTTTGTTAACATCAGAAAAAAAACTATACGAAATGGAACATCAACCAGTATGGCACTTGGAACGGCTAAAGCAGCATCAGCATATATCTTGCAAATAATCAAACAAACTATATAATTTTTATAAGGAGGCACCAAAATTATGCAGGCTACAATGATGGTAATAAAGACCAGTTCAAATTCAACTGTTCTCCTAAGATACATAAATTTCTTCTGGAACAAATCCCAAAATGAAATATGTAGATACTTATACCCTGTGTGAACTTTTGAGCCAACATATAAACAAGTTGGGATTAAGGTAAGGATTCATGTGGCCGACCCCATTCATATGGGAGTCATGGGACTAAGGCAAGGATGATGATGATGATACACATAAGTTATCAAAAGTACCACACACTGTAACTTTGTCCAGAGTAGTTGTAGTGCTTGTCAAAAACATTAGGTTGAGAATTGGAAGATTTAATTACAACTGTCATGTACTTGTGGTAGAATGTTTTTGGTGTCTATTCACAGAAGGTATCTGCTGGCACCGGTATGCTCATTTGGCCATGCATGGATGATAACTTTAAAAGATATGATCATGTTGACACTGGGGAAAAAAGTTACATGGATTATTATTAAAGCCTAGCTTCAACATGCATAGAGAAGAAAAGACTAAGAGAAGAAAGGTATTACTTCATTTAAAGAAAACATGTTCACAATTTATCTCAGTTAGTGTTTGAAAAAAGAACAAGTCACCAGGATTAGAATAAATATAAAAAATATAAATAGAGTACTCCCGTGGGTTTAATAATAAAATATTAATCGGTACCTTGACGGCTCTTGGTTTCTTCTTGAACTTTATCAATCACCTGGAAAAACAAAACCAACATTATAACAGAAATAAAAAAAATTCACTAGCAATTCAGGAAAAGAAAATAAAGCTATACCAAAACCAAAAAAATGAAAGAAAGAAGAGAAACAGACTAACAATATTAAAAAGTAATGACATTGGTCAACTTTCTGATCGAAATCAAATATCAATACACTACTAAGTCCAATTTCATGAGAGCAAAAGAAATTGAAATAATAATAATTACTGAAGGAATCAAGTAGTGAACTAATGTCTTTAATCACATCATAAAGCAATAAAGAAGCACTGCAGTGATATGTTTGTGCAAGAGGATAGAATTCATCTGATAACCTGTAGTACCAAAACTTTTGCCTATATCAATTCACAGGCAAGATCAAGAAATAGCAGCAGATAACCATTCTCTAGACATTATAAGAAATTAGATGGGCTTATAGCATTGTCATTAAACTGCTTATAGACCGAACTGCATTAAATATGATATTGCAATCAGTTAAGCAAACTTAGATAAGAAGATTTATTACATTAAACAAATGACAAAAAGAATAAGTATAACTAAAAAGAAGGATCTATAGATAAAAATGTACACCTGCTAAAATGTGATGAAATTGTAGTTAACATAATGGAATTTAAATTTGAAATTTATACTGATATAGCCATTAGTATAGCGGCCAACCTTAAGTTGCAATGCAATATCTTGATGCCATTTTCAAAACCACATAATATTTCCTGAGATTTTGAAGACCTTGGTGATCTGGCAAGTGTACATTGCAACAATTGTCAAATAATAAGAACCCCTGTCCTATTGTAGTTTTTAATATTTTGCTTATATCAGCCCACACCTCCTTGTGGGGTGGTAGGACCTGCACATTAGTTCTTGTGACCCATTTGTGATACGCTCTGTTATTTTAATACTAATGTCACAACGGGTCAGTTCCACGCCCAAAAGGACTATTCACTTGCTGGGTTTCCCGTATCCCACACCCAGTACACATCCAATGTGGAATTCAACACTTTTATGTGCCCATGACAGTAAGCTAGCAAGAGTTTCAATCAGAAAGAAACAACTTTGTGCAACATAATGCCTAAGGTTATGTATGTTTCCAGTCCACCCTCAAACAACATTAGACATTCTTTGATATTCTGATTTTTATCTCAACCATCTTTTTACAATGTACAAGAGATATCCCACCTCAACCCAACCAAAAAAAGGGACGGACATGTATTTGTAAGGATAATTTGAGATCCTCCAGCATGACAAAAACTAAAATAGAAATTGAGTGGAATGCACTTCAAGGAATAGCTAATAAGATGTTCATGCATCCACAAAGAACACTAATTTAGTAATTTTCCTCTATAATCAATTTAAGTATTATTACAGAATTTTGTGTAATTCATAAGTTTTCTAGTAAGAATGCATGGTCTAAAGAATATGACAGTAAGGCACCTTAAAAACAAAGAGTCGTGATTCTGTAAGCATGCCTAGAATGATAAACTTCCCAACATTACAAAATCACGACTCTTTCAATTCTCAATAAAGGAAACTTCAGCCTTTTCGACAAGCCATGAAAAAACCGAACTCATGTTTTATGCTAACAACCAAGAACTGACGTCCAATGAATTAACACCCTTTGATGATTAACCACAATCAAGTAGTTGGGATCAAGGGTTTATCTAGTTGAATGGAGTAAGTCCATTGGTACCCAAAACAATAAAAAAATGTGCAAAGGCGAATAGGCAGCATCAGCAGCAGAATCTGAAGTACAATATAATAGGAATGTCTTCAAATAACTATATTCATTAAACATCAAAAGCTAAACAAACCTCATCCGGAACACGAAGATATTTAATTGTATTCCCACGAATGTAGCATTCAGGCATTCTCCAAAACCTATCTCCATCCTACAATTAATTTTCAGTTTTAGGTGCAACCAAGATTCATGAACATTATATGTTATTACTCATCAAAGGATGAAAAATAAATGAAAGAAAAAAAATATATTAAAAGCTGATGAAAACATTCAAATACTTTTGACGTGCAGATGACTTCACGAAGATGGATATTCATCCAGGTGTCGCAATTCACCAAATGCCCGTTATAAGTCTCCCCATTTTTTAGTTCCACCAACTGCCACAACAATAAAAATCTTTAGAGACACACAGAGAAAATTTCAAATCCCCAGGTTTTGCATATTATGGTTTGAATAAATAGAAAATTTCACCTTTAACTGGAAAAAAACTCATTGATTGTTAATTTGGGTTCATATTGCATACAAAAAAATGCAGTTAAATATTTTAATTTCTTTTCTTTTTCAAAATGTTCTTGGCAACCATACAGAGCATAAATATGAATCATTGATGTGAATTCTTTCGTTTTCAGTATAATCTCAGTAACAACAACAACAACAACCACAAACCCTAAATTAAGAAAATCAACTCAAAAAGGGGAAGAGTTTCACCATTGGATGCCCCTGTGCAGTCTTGAGCAGAGAAAGTGGAAGCTGCAACAGAAAAAACTAGATCAGTTCAAAATACAGACACATACACACAACAGAGCTCTAAAGAACACCAAAACAAACCAAACCCTAACGGAAGTATCATCAAATCAGTGCAGTGATTAGCATACCATCTTCTTGTACAAACAGCACAATCTACCGATGTTAATCCACCTGCAGATAAAAGCGTGGTCAGAAGAGAAGTAATATTTAACAGAAGCTCCGTTTACTTGCTGAGAAAATGCATGAAATAAAAAACAAAAAAACTTTGAAATTTGAAAGCTTAAAACAACGCATTCACAAGACTAATACAACTACGCAGGCTTGTTAGGCTTGACTTTTCTGAGTCTCCGGAAACCAAAACAAGCAAAGCATAAGATTTACTTTCTTTTATTTCCTCAGCTTTCTTAGCAACCAAACGAGGATTAGTTCAAAAACTCTATAGAGAGAACTTTTGAAGTTCAAAGTATTAAACTAAGAATTAGAGAAATAAAATAGTATCAAAATAGATGATTAGAGAGAACCTTATATCCCTCTTTGTGTGAAGAGATCGAGAGAGATCTGTGTCTCGCTAGTCGCTGGTTGTTGAGAACAACTTTGAGAATGGAGGTTCTAAAGGGTTCGATAAAACTGTGAATTTGCTTTAATGGCCCGGATTTATATATTTATATATTATTTATTTATTTATTTATTTATTTTTGTGCTTTGGGCATATTCCTCTAAACTCTAGGCATATCAAACTTTTTCGTGTATTAAGTTGTGACAGTACTTGTGGCTCCCACCGTTACTTGAATCATTGACAAATGGACAAATTCTCTTGCATTATAAAATTAAAATAATAATAATTAATACTAAGACATGGCCAGTGAGTATTTATTCTTCTTTGATTTTGTTAGGAAGATGTGGTGATTTGTTAATGATATATGTATAATACCGCCTAAATATTGTCAATAAATTAGGATATACACTTGCCAGGTAATACTTGATTAAGATTTAATATGATGATCGTGTGACATATATAAAAAGTTGGATTCTCAAACATTCCACATTTATACATAGAACTGTGGAGTGTTATATAGTTTTTAGAATATTAGTGAGAACAACTTTAAGAATGAAAATGATAATGGTTCAATAAAATTGTGAATTTGCTATAATGACCCGAATTTATTTATTTATTTATTATTTATTAGTATTTTATTTATTTTTGTGTTTTGGGCATATTCCTCTAAACTCTAGACATATCTTAACTTTTTCCTGAATTAAGTTCTGAGTAAAGACAATACTTGGTGGCTTCCATCACTACTTGAACCATTGACAAGTGGACAAATTCACTTGCATTATAAAATTAAAATAATAATAATTAAGAGTAAGATCACGGCCACGAATTTTATTCACCTTTAATTTTGTTATGAAGGAAGATGTGTTGATTTATGATACACTTATTATATACTTTCACTAGTGACTATTTAAATATTGTCAATAAATTAGTGTATACATTCTCAAACAAAAATAGAAATTGTTTTTAAAATATTCAAACCTTAAATTTAAAGAAAGTTGTGTCAACGTAGGTGTTACTAGGATATTAAATACTTGAATAGGACTAACATGATGATTAGGTGGCATCCGTGTAAAGTTAGGAAAATGTAGAGTTTTTAGGACATTAGTGAGTTTGTAAAAATTTATAAATTATATTTTTTTTTTTTTTTTTTTTTTTTTGTAAATTATAAAATATTTTAGAAAAATTGAGATGTAGGATGGTAAATATCTCGATAAAATGTTATAGAAGATAAATTTAAGTCATTGTAATGCATCTTACAAAATATCTATATAATGGGTGGAATTCTCATTTTTAGTCAACAAATTGTTAGCATATAACTTAAAAATGAAAATGTGAATGACTGGTGATTGTTAGCATATAACTTAAAAATGAAAATGTGAATGACTGGTGATCAGAGGTACGCTTGTAAAAGATATCAAAAGGGTTGAAAGAGCAGGTTGATGGTGCCAGTGATTTAAAAGGAAATATGGTATTCTGTATTGATAAAGAAAGAGAAAAATACTACAATACTACTCAATTAGAGTTTTGGTAGTGATGTTATTTCACTAATAATTGTATTTAAGGTAAATATTATTTTAATAATTATCATATTAAAACGAAATCTTGACAAAGTATACGTTTTTTTTGTTCCTCTCAAAAATTATTTTCATTCTCTTATATATATTTTCACTATTCCCATAACTTGATTAAGAACAATTTAAATAAATACATTTATGTTGTTTTGTGGTGTTTGTATCAGAACAATTTGAAAAAATGCATTTACGTTTTTGTATGTGTTCTAATGTTATCTCTTATTCCGGAAAAGAAAAAAAATATATAATAATAATGCCTTATTCTTTCTCACCCCATGATTAATAATTTTTTAACAAGACAAATCTAAAAAATTCTAATTTGCACCAAATAAAACTTAATGAATGGAACTTGATTGACCAAGAGTCTTGTGACATTGTGACATCTAAATCTATTTTCTCCAAATTAATAATTAGATTGAACTACATAAATAAGAAAATTCCTTTACACTACAGTATACCCTTTTTTTTTCTTCTAAAAGACACGTATTCATGTATCATAAAAATTAGAAGGATGCTTTATACTGATAGAGGCGGAGGTAGTGAAGACACTGGAGAGAAGAAATTCTGACACAAGTTAATAAAGATTTTTTTTCTTAGTTGACAGAAGTTAATAAAAAAAATTTTCTTAGTTGACACAAGTTAATAATTAAAATGGAGAGAGAAATTCTGACAGAAGCTAATAATTAATTTTTTTTTTTAAAGAAATGCCAGACATCATGAGTCATGAGAATATAAATATAAAAATTTAACATGGCTAGGTCAAGTACAATGTATTCATGAACCAAACTCTTACATCTTCACACTCACTTCTTGCTTTTGTTGTTTACAATGAACCTAAATTAACCTCAAATCATTCAAACTAACCAAGGCCAACCAAATCCCAAATCTCATTCCATCGTCTGATTATACCAGAGTGTTTTCTAAAATGTCAACAGGAGTCACCAAATTTTTTTTTTTTTAAATGTAAAAAAGAGAGAAGGAAATGAGACCCATCCTCCTTTACAGCTCTTTACAGTATATAATGAATATAGCTTAAATCACAAAAATGGCCACAAACTATAAATTCATAAACCAATTAGCCCCCAAAAAGAAGGAAAACAAAAAAAAAACAAAAAAAAAAACAATAACCATCGCCCCCTCCCCCTGGGGCCGAAAAAAAAAAGAAGAGGAAAAGAAAAAACTCTGATAGCAATTAAAACACGGCAAGCATTCATGTCATTTGATACACCAGCAAACCAATACAGGAAATTAATCCTTGAGAGAACATGCCATGTACTTCAAGCTGGTATTTTACTTTCCAATTCCAAGCTCTTTCGAAATATCTCTAGTCACGTTAAATTGCATGGTATTATGCCATGGGAATAGGGTACGAGTAACTGGAAGCTTCCTTCGAAGGTCCTGCATTGTGATCATAGGTACAAAAGGGTATTACTAATAAAATGAATTCGGGTGGATGTTCAAAGAAAGGGCAATTACTACTGAGAATATTATGTCTTTTTCAGAAATCAAGGATGATGATGAGAAATCAAAAAAAAAAGGCTCGAGAGCGGAAACTTGATGATAAATGCCTCGAGGACAAGATGTTGGTTATCCTGATAAAAATTTAGGTTAACACTGCTTATTATCATGCTCATTAATTTTCATAGATCAATACTGATGCTAGTCCAATACAACTGCAATGCAACATTAAGGTTGACTACAAAGAAATGAGGTCCATTGGGAGTCTAATGCCATATGAATAATGGTACAACTTAGGCATCACCTACCCAGTGGTACATGTTCCTTCTTGCCAAAGGTGACATAGCTCAAAATTGTTAGTGGAACAATCCTAGCTACCCTGTCAGTGGCAGAATCAAGGACCATACCTAAACTACGACATCATGCAACGAAAGAAGGCAGAAGGCTGGGGGAAAGTGGGTGGGAGAGAACTTACTGGTAGGTTGATTTATTAAGAGCTATATTTTGCAACTTTGAGGCTTATACATAAAAATCAATGACAAGATCGCCACATAACTGAAAGAGACTTGCTTGTATATTGGTTGTGTTATACACCATCCAAATTGTTTGGAAAACTAATGTAGTAACCAAACTTGGTTCTTCAATAAATTTAAAGGGCACTTTTCATGCAATATTTCGAACGCACCAAGTCTAGAGAGTACCTTGAAAGTAGTATCTGGCAAATTTGAATAGGATACCTGCATATACATTACGGTCAGTAAAGGGCTCTCAAAACAACTGCAGCATTTGACCAATTAAAAGACGTATAGAGAACCTGAAGAGAAGCTAGATACTCTGTTTCATGGTGACGAATAATGTTGGTTATGGAAATTGCACAATCATCAGGGGACTGAAACACATATAACAAATATCAGACACGAAACAGATTATCAAAGAATGAGAAATAAATAACAAATCAAACATGCAAAGAATTTACTCAATAAAAGTATTAAAGAGCATGCAGAATGCCTTTTCAAGTCAACAAATAGAAAACAGGGAGGATCTTTGACACTAAAACCATTGCAAATTATTTGCTAGAAACCATAATCACAAGGTTATAGATAATTAAAATAATGATAAATTAAAGAATCCAATAGATTTGTTCAGAAAAAAATTTATCTAACAATTCATCGAAAAAAGATTTTTTATTTTATATATCTCTAATGAAATTTAATTGAAACGGCTTAATGCACCTGAGGAAGTTAAAAACCAATAATGCGAAATGCCTGACAAATCTAAAGCTTAAGTGTCTATAAAAAAAATTGGAACGTTCCATTGAAACGTCATGATTTCGAAATAAGGAAGAAAAAGGCTCAACTTTATGTCCCAAATCTTTTATTAAGCATATTTTAACTAGATTTTTTTTGACAAGTCAGCAAGGCTAAGAGAAAACCTCCAGGTGATCTGGATAACCATACTGAAAGCCACCTAGGTTAATCCATTTCTGAACTACTTTTAGACTGTCTTACTACTATGCTATTGGCATTACAATCCAGAGTAAAGATGTCTTCACTTTAAGGTATTCATTTTGCAACATTCTTGCTCCTCCGGTATAATAAGTCAAAATGTTCAAAGGAACCTCATTTCCCTATGGAATCACAAACATGTAACAGAAGTTATGGACCTGAACACAGCAGGTAATTTGACCTCATAACCAAAAAGTTTCCAACAATGCTATTTTCAAAGTAACCTGAAATATAGTTGAATCTTTGCATTCGTGTTTTGCATCTAACTGGACATTTCCTTCTTCAAAGTAATGGGCCCCAACCTAGAGGAAAGGTAGAAACAAAGAATTCATTAGTTCATGCTTACGGATACATTTTTGAGTTACATAACAAGGAGAAAAAAAACCCATGAAAGGGTTCAATTGAATTCAAAGATATACATTGGTTATGCATTAAATTAGCCAAAAAGTACCTGCATTTTGCCTCTTACTTCCACCATTTGCACGTCATCCTTAAACTCAATGTTCCATATCGAGCGCCAACTTCCGTTGCTTTACAATATACAAAAAGAAATTAAATAACTGAACCGTCACACAAGAACCACAATTTGTACTTCTATTCCAATAAAAAATGTAGACTTACAAGGTGAAGCAGGCATGGGTAAGCAACATTTTTTACCCCAGTGAGTAAAGAATCGTTACGTGCTCTTTAAGCCAATTTTTTTTTAGTTACATCTTAAAGAAACAAAGTCTATCGGGTCAAGGAAGCTACTCATGTCCAACAAGTTTTTACTTCTTTTTCCATTTTTAAAAACAATTGAACCACTATGGTATGATTTTGTGTTTGGAGTACCATTTTAGTGAACTTTAAAACACAAGCAATGTATTCCAAGCTTCACTTAATGGAAGCTCTGCCAAATTAAATGTTGTGACTTTAAATTTACATATTGAGTGAATATAAATTTGTATTTTTCAGCCTTTACCATAAGTTGACATCTTGAGTGAAACATAATATTAACAAACAATTAACTGTAAACAGTCAGATTTAGTAAAGTGTTAATATAAAGAAACTTTGCCATAATGGTGTTACAGGACGTTGGCATAAACCAATAAGGAGATTAGGCGGCAGTCAAAAGAGCTGCTCGGAAAGGGTCATGCCCACATCCTCTCGTGCCTCGCCCCTATCTCTAAAGGGTCTTGGTGCTGAAGCAGGTTCGTGGTGCATGTGCGCAGATTAGGATTTTAATTAATCTCAATTGGTCCTTCGTGACTGCTAAAGGAGAAGTAATAGGTAGGGATGACAAGAACTGAACCCGACATTTGTATCAAAAACAAATGTGCTACCAATTTGCGCCACATCCCCTCAATTGTTCTACAGTGTCATTGTAAATAATTCTTGTCTTCAAATCTATGTTTTCTCCATTGATATACAAGTTTAGCCTGCTATTCATTTTATTATTTTTATCATATAACATAAAATAATAGTAGAGGTAAAATACTTAAATACATACAAAATATGACCAGCATTCAATTTTTAGCACGTTAATGTACAATTCCTGTCTTAACTTAAAAAAATATGTGTGTGTGTGTGTGTGTGTTTGTGTATATATATCCAATTTCTGGCTGATGTTTATAAGCGAATGGAAATCCTGCCAGTGGATTAGCTTGACTTGACTTGAAATTTCCACATTCAATTATGTAGTTTTTCCCTAATGGAAATGGCCAAATTTAGTAGTCAATGAATCATTCTCGAAACAAGTGATGCATGTCAATTAAAAGTAAGGAAAAGGCAGCTAACAATCGCAATATAAACTCTCGCATCTGTGGAAAGAAAAAATTTGCATATTCACCTGGTATTCAGAACTTTCGCATATAAATTCTCGCATCTGTGGATAGTGCATTTGACCGGGGGGGGGGGGGGGGGGGGGGGTGGAGAGGAGTGGATGGAAGAAGATGGGGGAAGGAAAAAAATAAAGGGATGAATAAAGTATTCCATTATTTGACAAGAAGGAAATGGAAGAGAAATGAACATGGAGGGAGGAAGGAGGGTTTTTCTCTAGGCCTACCAATTTCTTTACTAATAAAAGTGAGCAGAAAACTGGAGGGAAAGGACGACCCCTCTTTCTACTTCAATTTTGCCTTGCAATCAACACGCCACCCTTAACATGCAAGGGTACAAGTTATAACAATAACATCATAATGCTGCATTCCTTCCTTCCTGCCCAACCAAACAAAAGAAGACTCCTTTTCTTCCTGCTCAACCAAACCAAAGGTGGAAAAGTCCTCTTTGTGCAAAATAATGTCAAAAGTTCAGTTTTTCACTCCCAGCACCCTGCATTGGCGGGCATACACTGGATGAGGCCTTTCATCTTTTCAATCCCACCTACCTTCCATCCTTCAAATAACCCATCCCTAACACTAAACAGAATGCAAAAGGAAAAACCTTCACACAAAGTGGAGAGCTCCATCAAAAGCAGTGCATCGAAAAGGTCAAGATGATAGCACCATGTTAGCCAGTAGCTAATGTTTCCTCGTGTTTGGGCATCAGTAAATATCGAATAATAACCAGAAAATAACCCGTCACAATTTAAATTAGCTTATTTCTAGTTACTTCCATTCAAGAGGACTAAAATCCGTATCTAATCAGCCAATACCCTGTCACAATTTAAATTAGCAATCGCTTCTATGAGAATGATGATATAAATCTGGTGATGATTTTCCACCATGACACCTTTTATCCAATGGAGTGTAAAGAATTTTTCAGAGATAATGGAGCAAGAACAGAGGGACAGAACTTTTGACTTGAGGTATGGAATAATGGAGCAGTAGAAACTTCCATAAAAATATTTGACTATATTCCATGTGTTCTTAGATTAATTATAATGCATAATTAGGAGATGGTAGCTTTGGAATATATCGACAAAGTGAGGGATGTAAATTGTATCAAGTTTCGATCATCAAAAGTTCAAAGGAGAGTAATTCAGATTCAGATTCAGAATCAACTTGGATAATTTTTGAATAATAAAAATTATGTCCATCCTTATCATCCAGGTTGACCTTTACTGAATACATTGTTGCCATTTAATCATCAAAAAGCTTTGTACAATATCATAAAATGGACAAACACTAGCAAGATTTGAATTCTTATGAACCAAGAGGAGATAAAAAAAATAATATCACTCACATGATAGGGATAAGATATGTCACAGTTGTGAACAGTCCGTTTATTAAAGATAAATGTGGTTAAAATACTTAAATAAGCAAGTAGGCACCCCATACTTGAAGTCAACCTAAATCTCAAATGAGTGCGATATGGAGGCAATAACTACCCAAACAAGGCACATCATGATGAACTCCAAAGATATTTATACATTAAGCCCCCACACCAATGAGTTATTCTGGAAATGTCGCAAGTTCAACATCAGAAAGTCTTGCACTGAGCAACTTCTCAGATTGTGGGCTATTCCTCATCAAATTTAATCAACTATATCACTTTGGCAATTCATAGTCATGAAGGTCAGGGATCCACCACTAATGGGGATGAACTCAGCGGCTCAGCCATGCGCCGTTTAAAAAGGGTTGATTCTAAGGATACACGGTTATTTTTTGTTTATTTATAGGGTTTAATTATTTAGTATTTATCCCTTGATGTTTCATATTTAAGTCTTCAAATTTTGGTTGGCTTTGGTATTCATCTCTGCGTGTGTGTGTTATGAAGTTATCTAACCCTCTTCTCCTATTCTCTTCCTTCTCTCCTTTCTCTTCTCAACCTTTTATTTCTCTTATCTTCATCTCTCTCTCTTTTTCTCTTCCCTCTACATCAACCAATCTATCACTCACCAAGAAGATGACAAAATGGCTAAATTTCATACTAGATCTCAGAGTAAAAAGCATTCTCAAGGGCAACTCACAAGATTACTGGTTCCAGTTATTCTTTGTTATTCTAATCCAATATCCTATAATGTAATATTCATTTGAATTTTGAACCAGATTGCTTCTGACAGAATGCTTCTAAATGAGGCTAATGAATTCAGTCCCTAAATGTGCTACTGTGTCTAGAATTCTAGGCATGCCATTTTCAGAGAGCATGTAATTTCCACAAGTCTTGGTGCAATTACTATGGGTCCAACCATGTAAAATTTTCAATAGACCTCTTAATGCCATCTTTGTAGATCCATCCAAAACTCAACTAAACATTGTCATCCCATCTGCCAATGGAAAGCAACCCTCAATTTTCAAATATGATTGGCTGTTTAGAAAGATAACTGTCACTAATTCAAAAAGTACCTACCTATTCCAATTTGTCCCACAAAGCTTCAGTTTTGAGTAACATCATTTAGCAATATCTCTTGCAATCAATCAAAAAAGAATACCACTATTCTTAGCTCTTTTGGCCCAATAATATCTGTGATCATGAGTAATGGGTAATGAATACACCATTCAAAATACAATTAAATTAGCAGAAAACAACTTATATAAACCTGACCACATGTGGAATAACTACAGAGAAAATTATGTTAGACAACGAACATAAGGCCAAAAAAAGTTCATATAATAGCGATTGAACTTTGTAATTTAACTAATTTTACATACCAGAAATTCTGTGGGCTATGTCTAGCAGCAGAAATCACCACGACAAGTTCAAAATCAGATCCTGGTTCTTCAATATCTTTTCCACCAATACAATAAACTGTACATACACCTTTTGGATAAGCTTCGCCAACGTATTTGACAATTTCTGCATCCAGAGCACATCTGCCACAATAGAAATGGCATTATGAAGGAGAATATAATAATAAAAGCAGCAAACAACATGGTAAATCATGGTCTACCATGCAAATAAATCCAGCTGTGTTTGAAGTTGCAGCTAAGACTATGACAATTTGCACAAGATGTTACATATATATCCGGATATGTGACACAATACAAGTTACAACAAATAAGGAAGATAACATCATTTTGCTAGGTATCACAGGGAACTCATGCATCTTGCTCGAGATAGAGCCACTGGTGATATCACATGACTATTCACTCGAGACTACATCGTCTAACCATCAGCCTGCAAAAAAAAAAAAAAAATTTGTTTTTAGCGCTCTCCAAGCACCCAATTGTGGAATTGTCCAAACATATTCCACTTTCCTCCCAAAATCCTCCTACCAACCACTCAAATCCCTCTCCATCTTCACTCTAACAATCAAACACAATTTCATACTCTCTCCTTCACTCTCAATCCATCAATACACATATCAAGCCACTTGATACCTGACTCTCTTTATAAAAGAATCATGATTTTTACTATTTTGAACTTTCAAGTTTAGACCCATAGGCATGGTTTGACAAACCTGTCGATTCCGAGCAAACCGGCCAGTTCACAACAGAAAAACCATCCTCCGTTACCAGTACTCACTGATTTATTGATGAGTCCCAAATAAATAAATACTGGTTCGCATTCTGGTGAATATAATAAACTCGTACTAAATAGGTTAAGAGATGCTCAAGTAGAAGACAATCTACATTCATCATCATCCATGATTAAGCACAACATACTAGTTTAGATTCGACCGACTCCAGATGAAATGCCCTTAAGGGGCATGGAAATGGCTTGTAATGGCTTCCAACGAATTAGTGCTAGCTTAGCTAAAAAAATTATTTATTGATTAGCACATCTATGAACCCAAGCAATTGAAGAAACCATTTATGAGAATGTCAAAGAACTCATGCGTAGGGTAAGCATGCTTCTAGGAACCCTTTTTTTTTAATAAGTAAGCATGCTTCTAGGAACCCTAAAAATTGCTTTTCACCAATTTACTAGCATGCCTGCATTCCTCTCTACACGAACCTTCTCTAAGCATTTCTTAGAGCCCAATAAACAACTCCATACCCTCAACTTATAACGCAAAAACCCTTCTCACAAGGCAAAAAGAAAAATAAAATAAGGATCATATACAATTCCATCAATTTCATCCATACTGATACTGTCAGCAGCTAATTGGAAGCATCCATAACAACTATACTTGATGCTTCCCCAAGGTGAAGGATACCATAAATGGTTTACATCAGGAATATGAGGCCTCCCTCCACAAGAAATCAAAACCCAAATGGATGAGTTGCACCTATATTCTCTCTTACATGGTTACACCACAACCATTTCTTCAAACTAAATGAACCAATAGTAGGCAAGACAATTAATGGTTTACTTTAGGAATATGAGTTCTCCCACACAGATAACCAAAACTCAAGGGATGCCCTGAACTGAGCTTCTCTCCACGCCTCCAGAAAGATACTACCATTCTTCAAGCTAAATGAACCAAAACTAGGCAAAACAATATCCCACGGAATAACATTCCCTTTCATGTTTTACACCCCCAAAACCTAGAAAAGAGATTCCCTTTTTAGAATTAAACTGAAGAGGAGTCACCATCCAACCAAATAAAGGAGAATAATCTTCGCCACAAACTATTAACAAAGGGGTAACCATCCCTCCTGCAGATGATGCAAATGTTAGATAAAAGGGGCCTTCTCACTGAGACAACCCAAATAAAGGAAACTAGCTTTGAACATTAAAAGGCACATTCAAGAGCCATTTTTACACTACTAGCTTGAGGGTATTCTTTCTTTCTTTCTTCTTCTCCTTTTTAACTTTTTTTTTCTTTTTTTTTTTTTTTTCAACTAAAAACTGTGCACACCAGAGAGAGATGGTATAAAGGATTTAGAAGTGAACATGCACAAAGAATCCATGCTCAATACCTAAATCCTACCTAAACGACAGGAGATACATTTATTGATGGACTCGAGCAAAGACGTAAGCTCTGAGATTCCATCATTGTTAAGATTGCAATTGAAGTGAATTTCCAGGATTGACCATATGGGAAGGGACCTAAAAGATAATCAATAGAATAATTATGATTTCTAGAAAGCCCATATAATCTTATTTAAGCAAAGCTAAAAAAGAATTCCCCTAATACAGTATCTTCTTAGGAATTTTCTGGCATTTCTCAAGAGAAACCTGGCATAAGGAAAGAAAGTACCATTCCTCTTCTATGGGAAACAATGACTCCCACTAACTATTGGCATTGCATCCTGGCCATTGTCTAAAAGGCAATAAATGCTATGTGTCGGTATTGCTAAAGGAAACACCTCCCCACCTTGTAAGATCTCCACAACCACTTCCTAGTTCTAGCCTTCTAGGTTTGTTCCCTTAGAAGTTAGAACCACATCGCCAAATTCTAAGCCCCTTATCAGAAAAGTTCCTCTCGAATTTTCAATTTTATCAACTGCTTTCAATAGTCACTGAATGAGAACAGTTCCGCAATGTATAGAAAGATGCCTCTTTTTCTGGCCACAAATGCCTTTTAAGCCTAAATTCTTCATTGGCCTCAAATGACGTTCCAATCTCTAAACAATGACAACTTAAGAGAGCATCCTGAATGGAACTCTAGACCCAACCAACTCCGAATTTTCATGCAAGAATCAACTAAAGCTAGAGCCACCTCTCAAAACCAAAAGAAGGATGCACAAACAAGAATACATGAGGTGAACAAAATAATTTATTGCAACAACAATACACCTAGAAACATCTAGAATGGAGAACCCTGAATTTTTATTTTTTATTTTTGCTGTCAAACTTTGAGAATAATAAAAAATAATAGTGCCGAATGCTCGCGTGATTTTAGGAGGAACCCCCACTTGAGAATATATAGCATTTTAACCATAATTTGAGTTGAACAGCATACCGATATTCCTCAATATATGGGGATGGAAGTTCCTCATCACTTGCTGGCCTCACTTCTTTACAAACCTAGACCAATTTAGCACACCATCACATAAAAGATGGGCCCAAAAAAAAGAATTACTTAACAATGAAAAGATTTAGAGAAAAGAAAAAAGGATAGCATGATACATCATGTGCTTTTACAAATTTCAAACAAAGTGATGCAAATAGAGCAAAACCTATCCCCTATAATTCTGAGTTTCAACACCCCAAAATGCAATGTGCAGGATACTTGGCTAAAAAAAGAAAGACAACTTAATTGTTTAACAAAGTCGGCTGGAGCAATTTTGTAACATTTTGTTCTACATTCATAAATTCAAGTAATACTCACAATTTTGGTATTTCACCATGCTTTTATTTTCATGCTTTAGCTCATCCAATAATCATATACATTTTCTACTCCTACGGTCTTTTACAATTTTAAATTTAATAAAGAAATGTCATAAAGGCATCCCCTTTCATGTTAGATATAACCTCAACAGTCAACACATCTAGACTTTGGAAAAATAAATAAAAAATTTAATCACTTAGCTGACTAAACGTAGTTTGACTTTATGGCTTTCTTGAGTTGAGCTGGGCATTATCTAAAGAATAATGGCAAGTAAACACTAACCCGCATTAATTTGATTTCTTCACCAGCTTAAAATGCAATATGCAGGATGCTTGAGAAAAGACACAACTTACTTGTTTAACATGGTCCACTATAGCAACTTGGGCAGTCCTTGGATCAAGATATTCATGCTCATCAAGCTCTCCAAATGATGTGATTAGCACCTGCAAACAATTGAAAGAGAGATTACACCGAGGAGAAATGTTCTGGCAGTGTGTTCAACAAATTGGGATTGTTAATATCAGAATAATGCCACTGTAAACTATTTTTGTTAAAATGATAGAATAGCACAATTGTCTATGCAAAGTTAAAACCAATTGGAATGAACAATCAGTTCAGTGTTTTTGTTGGCCCCAACAAACAGCAAACATTCTAAAAGGCTAACAACTTCCAATTCAACTAAACTTACTCCGCGCTACACTAAGTTTGCAGAATTAAAATTCATATCTATGTAATTCTTCAGAATAAATAAATTTTATGTCTTTTACTACACTTCTCCTAGTATAAGTACAAAATGAACCTCAAGAAAAGGTAAAAACAAAGGGAATAATCAAACCTAATTGTAGACAATTCAATGAACCATATGGGGTATCTATAAGTTCAACGGAGAAAAACCAAGAAATCAATAAATGGGTTCATTATGAGACTTACATCACCAATTCTCCCAGGCATTTCGAGGCGAATCATGTGAGATTTGTTGTGTTGTGGAAATGCCTCAGAAGCCGCAAGATTGTACACATTATCGTCATTCAAAACTGATCTAATGTCTACAAAAGCCAAAACAAAAAAGGGCATGATCACAAGAAAATAAGCTAATGCAAAAACAAAAGAAACCATGAATTTTTAGTGTGTGTGGAGTGAGAAATTATACAAAAATGCGATTGATTTAGAACCAAAAACGAAAACGAAAGTGATTATAAAAAAGGATGAAATTTTAGAGAGAGAGAGAGACCCTTTGCGACGTATTGGATTTCGCCGGGAGGAGAGTTGAGGAGGAACCATTTGGCAATCTCTATCTTCTGCTTGTCGCTGAGCTCTGTTTCTTGAGTTTCTTCGTCGCTCGCCATTCGCTGACGAAATGCAACTGAGATATACTACCAAAATTCGACTCTCTCTCTCCCTATATATGTGTATGTGCGTGTTTGTGTGTGTAATTGTGTATCACTTCTATCTTTATATTCTTTTGTGGTTTGAATCTCTAGAATGAAAAAGGGTTCGATGAGAGAGAAAGAGAGAGAGGGATGTATGTGTGCGATGTGAATGATCTGTAAAGAGTTCCGGTGGGTGTGACGAAATGATTTTGATGGTGTATCGTTTTGAGGGACAAACGACATTTTCATTGGAATTTTGAAGATGATAGATAATGAAGTTGATCTCAGCCGTTAATTACTATATGATCATTGACATTAATTTAACTACTCTATTAAATCTGTTTTCAAATTGAAATTGAAATTAAAAATTTTTATTAATTTGAATTTTAAAATACTTTTTCTAAACGTGAATATCTTCTATTGAAATTTCAACTACATAAATAAAATAACATAATATGGTTAAAAAATAAATAAATAAATAACATAATAACATGATTAAAACATTTTAAATTATATATGGAAATTCTAAAACCCCCAATTCAAAATATATATATATTTGAAATTCAAAAGACTCCTAATTCAATATCTTTTATTTGTATCCATAAAATCCATGAAAACGAAATTCAATATGCTAATGAAAAATCTTTCTCATCCCCTACAATAGAGTGAAAGAGACTACAAAACCCAAATGGATAAGTTGCCTACCCAATCGGAAAAGCCCAACACCAACTATATCCTTTTTTTTTCTTTTTCTTTTTTGTCTTCAGAATAGTCTTGTCAACTTTCATCTCCAATTATATAATTTTATTTTCACAATAATCGTGTTAGCTTTTTTTATATGGGTTGAATAACGTTCAGATTAAGTTTTTTTTTTTTTTTTTTTTTTTTTTTTTTTTTTTTTTTCAGTGACCAAAAGACAACCCAAATTATTAGTAGTGTGGCATGAAAATGGATGGAGGGGAAGGAAGTGGCGTGGGATGAAAATGGCTGGAAGCGAAAGGGAGTGGATAAGAAACCTAAGGAAAGTGTCTCCTTTATTTTTGAAGTGAAAGGACATTGTAAAGGGATGGATAAATTAACGTGACACTTTGGTTGAAAGAAAAGAGTCAGGGTTTCATACTCCGTTTGATAGAAATGAAGAAAATTAAATGAAAGAGAGAGAATAAGTTATGAATGATATATCATTGGTGAAGATATTGTGTCATTATTTCTGTTTTTTTTTTTTTTTGGCCTCTTTTTGTTTGGTAAGACTTGTTTATTATGAGAGAAGAAGAGGTGTATTAATTATAAGAAAAAATTATAATTTTATAACTTTTATAACAACCTTGCCTTTTTTCCTTGATGTTTCATATCTAGAGAATGATAACTCACTCAACCCCTCTTTCTTCCTTCGTACATCCCCAAAATATAAAAAATAAAAGAAAAAAAGAAATGAGTTTATATATATTTTTGACAATATACCTCCATTATATAAAAATTATAAATAAATATATATATTGAAAAGGTTAAAAATTAGTATTTATATATATGTAGGTAATTATTCTCTCTTTCCCTCGTATCTTTTTGACGAATAAGAAAACTTCTCTTCCTTTCCTTCCAAGATTTCAACCAAAAATGAGAAGGTTAATCCGTCTCTAACATAGCATTAGCTTTTATTTGGCTTGTCCAAGACACTCCAATGTGCCACTTTCATAATAAAAAACAAATGTTCGAAGAAAGTAAACAAAGAAAAATTATGAGCTCACTAGGCTGAGACAAACCATGCCCACTCACAAACAACCCGAGCAAGCCCAAGCTAAGGTTTCCAAACCCATCACAGAACCTACGAATAAACCGGGTCAAAACTGCTGTAACTACTACTATCTTCTTCATCCATATGAATACAGAAACCAAAATCTCTAATTACACAGTCACCATTGGGACAGGAATTCTACTATTGTCATATACTAATTTCCAGAAGTTATTCAATGCCCTCAAGGGTCCAACCCCTTGATCACCAATTATATTCTCATTTGTCCTCTGACTCATAAACAAGCCTCGGGCAGCAAATCCCATGAGTTCACTCGGGTCCATATAGCCTCGGATTCTTGACACCATTCCACTTTCATATGAGAAACCCATTGAATCGGACTGTTTCTGATGAATCTTGTTCATCTTTTGTTCCGCCTGGAAATCATGTCCCGGTGATGTGGAATCATCTTCAGGATAAAGATACTCCGACTCGGTTTCTGTGGAATCTTGTGATTGTTCAAGGGCCAATCTGTCTACTTGGTGTTTTAATTGCCGTAGTCGCTGGCCAATTCTTGAAGTTACAGCATCATATAAGTTCCCTCTTGATATTCTTCCATCCTCTTCCATATTTAGTAAATCATCAAAATGTATAGGATCACCAATAAGCACCGTCACCTACATATTTCAAGCGTATGAAAGACATTAGACCACAATAGTTTTTTAAAAAAACTATGTTCTACTCATAAACAAAGCAAACCAAATAATAACACAGCTTGTCTCTTAATTAGGAAGGTAAGACCAACTTATAAAATAAATGCTTGTCAAATTATTAACCATGTCAAATATTTCTCATTCTACAGCTCTCGACTTAAAAGTGAAAATGATTACCAATGGGCCTCTTCTTCTTCTTGATAGTTGATACATTTAGATAAGGCTATTTTAATGAATTGAATTTCCTAAGAAACAGACTATTGCAACCCACTGCACAATAGACTCATTTACTATGGCTGTGGCTAGCAAGCAACTTAAATCAACAAAGCTCAAACCCGACCAGTCAGCTCCATCTAAAGACGTTATTGTATATCAAATCCTTTTTAATTATGTTATTAGCCACTAAAAATGTAAGTCATCAGGTATATCAATGGACAATCTTTAGTAATCCACATTCAAAGATCTACATTGAATGAACCACACAAGCATGTACATAGTACCAGATAGATCTCCTACAATGAATTCGTCCCAGTGTTTCTCATGCACGGCTCTATTTGACAAAATAGGAAAAATGGCAAATGGATGATTATATGCCCAAATCACCTGATGCAACAACTCTATTGGTGGACAATTCTCTGAATTGCTGCAAATTAAATAAGTATTCGTTTCCTAAAATTATTTATTATTGTTGTTATTACTATTAAGGATATTTCCTCCTTTCATATAATACTGAGTGGAGAGGGAATTATTTTTCTTTTTTCCTTTTGTAGTAGGGGGGAAGGGGTGCTGAGGATGGAGAGTGAGTTGAGTTGAAATCTCTATTAGATAGCCCGATTGTGGACTATGGGGTGTACTCTAAAGGCCCAAGACCACCACTGTCGACCAAAAAAAAATGTTATATAAAAATCATCTATTTGACAAAAAGCTAGAAAAAGTAAGATAAAAATACGCACTGTCTTGCCAATCCGGGGAAACGTGGCTCCAATAGGCATGATCTCTTGCATCCCTGTATGCACAAATGGGACAACCATGGGGATATTATCTGCATCCAAGACCAACCTGCAGAGGATAAAAGGTATAAGCAACTGAATCATGTTTCAGAAGTCCAAAAATAAATGATTCTTTTTATAAGTATAAATAAATAAATAATAGCTAAAAAGATAATATGATGAAAAGGAGACCCAAGCAGAAGTAAACTATATTCCAGCAAGAAAAGTATATCCCCTCCTGACATATGTGAGGTAGGGGAGGAGCTACAAATATTTTTCGTTCAGTGGGGTGGGAGTTGGGGAATAATTTAACACACGTTTTGTCTCAAGCAGAATTTATTAATCCATTACCCTTCCTACCCCCATCCCCCTCTTTCTTTAACACACGCTTTGTCTCAAGCAGAATTTATTAATCCATTACCCTTCCTACCCCCATCCCCCTCTTTCTTTTTTCCGGTGTATGTATCCATATTCTGAGGTTGCGGCTCAAAAAATACGCTTAAATCCCCCCAAAAAGCAACTCCACTTCTTCAGAAGATAACCTGTTCCTCTCCTTCCAGATATACCACCAAAAGCATACAAGTGTCACTGTGCCCACCAAGCATATATATGCTTCTCTGCACCCCCTTAAGCAAGCTATTCAAACCTCAATAGCTGACCTGTTCATGACCTATTAAAAGCAAAGTACCCGCTTCCCCTCCACCAACCATCACCTTCCTCATAATTTATTTATTTCTTCCACATACCTCCAAAGTCACTTTTACTAGCAGAGCCTGGTTAAAAAACCTTAAATTCCTGAGGCCGACCTCTTATATATATCCAGAGAAGAAATGTTTCAAATAATATATTAACTCTTCTCCAAAACCCCACAACCTGATTTAGCTTCAAAACCAAGGGCCAAGAGCATATACTGTTCAACATACTAATCAAATAAATAAATAAAAACATGTACTGTTTAAGATGCATCAAGTAATTTTCCAAGGTAAAATTTATTTTTCTTTTCAAAAACTGATGTTCATTATAATGTCTCAGCTTACTGCATTTTGTTTGTTTTTCTTCCGTTCAAAGAAGGCAAGAAAAAGTGCTTGAGATGCACTAGCCAAGACCTGTGAAGCAAGATAGACTACCACATATAAGATATCCCATCTCTCAAAGATCTAAATGTACTCCTCTACTCTCAATTTTGCATTCTAGTACAATAAAGATCATGCAGTTACCTTTTCGAATACAAGTATAAATCGAGCAATTACCTAATCAACTAATGCTTAGTAAACAAGTAAATAAACCACATGACATTGACAACATTACTATGTCATTCAAAAATTCTAACCTTCCAACTCCTCTCTTCGCAGACCCCACGGTTCTTCCACCATCTCGAGAACGACTACCTTCTGGGAATATGTGAACCCATCCACCACGATTCAATTTTGAGATAGCCACGTCCATCCCCTGATGCATGCTAAAAAAAGTATTATGAGCAGAAAGTACCACATAAAATGTCATTAAGAACATGCATGAGATGGAGAATGCCACAAAAATACTAAAAACCATGCATAAGAAGATGGAGAATGCCAGAAAAATATTAAAAATAAAAATAAATAATATGTGCAATAACAGAATTTCCCGGCTTGGGAGTCTGCACTTCCTCTTCTTTTTTTCCCCTGATCATGGAGCCTGCATGTGAGAACCATGTACTAGCAGCACAACCTTTACATCGGATAATTGGCGAGATACAAATCGTGAGACTTATCTATAAGGGACTAAGCACGCAAAAACATATCATAAAACTAGAAAACAATTTAACACATTTAGGCTGAAATAAACAAAAAAATAATTAAAACTGCTGCCATCAATCATCAATGTAATATCGCTTTCATACTCTTAACAGTAACAATACACCTAAAGCAACCAACTATGAGCAAATTTAGTATACATTATAAATTGAATAGTTTTTCAAGAAGTAAAACTAGTAATGCATCAAACTAAAAATTGTAAAGTTCCAACAAATATTGATCAATAGTAAACAATAAAAAGAGAGAAGGAATCTATGGATCAAACTTCCATTTCAAGGGAAGTTCCATTTGATATAAAGAAGAAAAGGCAAAAGGAAAAGGAAAGAGTGTCAATATAAATGTCATATAATTATGGAAGACACGTGGATCTGCATAAAAAAAATGGCAACAACTATCAGAAAGCAAATATTAGATAAACAACTAAAACAAGTATATAAAACGTAAATCCCCCATCTAACAGTATGAAAACAAAGAGAAACCAAAGAATGAAGACAATATTTCAATCGTACAAATCAACAGTTTCATTCTAGCTATCCACAACACATGTAATTAAAGAAAAGAAAAAGGTTACAAAGACTCCAAAAAAGCAGCTATATCAGCTCCAAGTAGAAATATCTCATAAAAAAACATAACAACGGTTTTCACTTATTATAGTTGTGTAACTAAAGAAAAGAAAAAAGTTATGAAGACTCCAAAAAAGCAGCTATATCAGCTCCAAGTAGAAAGATCTCATTAAAAAAAAAAAAATAGTAAAAGCTATATGCATCACAAAAGGGTATAACAACCCTTAAATTCTGAAAAAAGGATAAAGCATTAAAAAGTTTTCCGGGAGGTCTTACTGAACATTTGTCCTAACAATATTCAACAACCACAAGGTAACTTGACACGCTACACGACATGCTATAACAAAGTTGAAAGTACCTTCTGATAAATCCCATCACCACGAGAAACAGGTAAAACTTTGACAAATCTAAAGAAAGCAGATGTTGCTGGATTACGGAAACATCGATCAGTAGCACAAAGTGTCCATCTCAAGCTATGAGGATTAAATAGAGCACTTTTTGGAAGCAGTGAAGCAATAACTAGTGGATCATCCAAAGAAGCAACATGGTTGCTCACCTACAAATCAGTGTAAACAGTTTCATCATCAACATGTGCTATGGTTTAAAACTAGGAAGTAAGGTCAAGTTCAAAACAGTAATGTAGCTTCAAGGATGAGCAAAATGAATGTATTAATTTGAATCCGTACAACGTTATGTCTGATGCATACCGTAATGAGAGGCTTATTCTTCGGTCTGTGCAGCAATGCCTGATGTAGTTTTTCTGCACCGTATATCTGTAATTCTATCCAAGTTAGTTCCTCCAGAGCTAAACAACCCATCAGTAGCACTTTCAAAATTTCAAAGTCATGTGACTTCAAATTACCTGGACATGATTAAGGCCATTCATGAAAACATGACAAACGTTTCCAAGAACAGGAACGGCCACAACCTGAAGCATGCGAGTGAGAATGGAATCTTCTTCTCCATCGATTTCCATACTAACTGCATTTATGTTTGCAATCCAAAATCAGTTAAGCTTACAACACTTAACCTAAATGCCTTTTTGAAACAACGATTTCCCAGGAAATTGGCCAATATATTTTATTAACAAAATCTAAATAATGGAGGCTGAAAGCAACACGGTAGGGACTTTGAAGCATGAGGCCTAAGCTTCCAGCTACCCCATTTTTTATACCAGTTATGAATTGGAATGACAAGAAACAAGTATGACACTGAAGTAGACAGGTACAAATATCAAAGCCAGACCTTTCCAAAATTCTGAACTTGCATGCCTACCCTTTCCAACACATAAAGCAGTTTTTTTTTTTTTGGAAACAATGCTTGTCATTTTATTAATATTTTTAGTGCTTCTCAACTCCCCTCCCCCATCTCTTGGTTCTTGGGGTTTTTCTTTTCTTTTTTACTTCTCTCTTTATTGTTATTACCTTTTTGTTTGTGGGATGGGGTGTCTTGGGGAAAGGAGTGGAGGTGGTCTACCGTCTACCCCCTTTGTTGTATTCTGCTTGGGATAGTGTAATGAAACTTTGAGATTTCTTCATATGTGTGTGTTTGTGTAAACAATAAACAGACACACAAACAAATACATGTAAACAAGAGGGTGCATGCATAATGTTGATACAAGTAGAAAGGAGGTGGTCTACACCTATTCTTTATTCTAATTTTACAAAAGCAGCACTCAATGTTTGCAATTTTATATGCATTAGAGTGATTATGTCATTTCATTTTCACATCTCCCCCTTTTTCTGTTTTCAGGAAACTTCATATCAAATTTGCACTGTCATGAATCTGACAACCCAAAAGTGATCTAGAAGTGACCCCAAACTTAAGAACTCAGAGAAACAAATAAAAGGGAAGTGTGAGAAAGAAATTGAGTTTGGATCTCTACTTAGAACAGATTGAGAGAAATTGCAGCAGGGAGACAATTGGTTAAGTCTTCTACATGCATTTTGTTATCTTAGTGTCCCAAATGAAATGATTTCTTACTGAATAGTATGTGTACAGTCCAAACATCTCATCTACAGTAAAAACCACTGGTTCCAGCCAAAATGATTAAAACAACTCAAATTTTGCATTAACAGATCAAAAGATGATATAAAAGACTATAAGAGAGAGCAACTGTTCAATTTTGTGTCTGGCATGAAGTGCTTTGGCCAGAACAGCCTTAAACAACAAAAATCTTACAGCTTTTAGCACTTTGATGGCTTAAAAGTCTTCAAGCATTCTCCTATATAATTCGAGTCTTTATATGTATGCTTCACATGCTCTGCATAATACATACAATTTTTTATGATCCAATATAGAATGGTATGATCTGACCTTAAGATCAGTAATCTAAACTATAATCCATTCATCCCAAACCACGATTCTGATCATTTATAGGCATCAAACTGTAGGGCTGAGGGGAGGGAAAAAAAGAGTAAATGAGTGCAGCGATGCAATCCCAGTTTGCTCACTCGAAAAGATTTGGTAGATGCTAACAAAAGAAAACTGGGTACTTTTTCTTTTTCTTTTTCTTTTTCTTTTTCTTTTTTTTTTTTTTTTTTTTTAATAATTCACAAAGAATCAACTTGGTTCCTCAAAAGTAATTAAAGACTAGAGCTTTTAACTGATAACTATTATGTAGTCGACATTTGACTATAAATCAATTAGAGCATTTTTAAAATTGCGTTCATAAATTAGATTTTCCTCACACTTTGACATTTATATTATGGTTTTAAGTAAACCATAAAGTATAATGATAGGCATGAAATAGGCTTATTATTTGAGAAACGAGAAACTATTAATTTGCTTGTTAAGAGAAATAAATACATTAATTAAAATATGATCAATACACAAGTATCATTGCCTATACTAACTCTAAAAAAACAAGAATCCTTTTCCCTATTGTTTGACATTAGCGACACAAGTTCATTGTTACTTCCTCACCAGCAATTATAACTAAAAATACTCTGTAATTTGTTTCAGGCGAAACACAATGCACACATAATACATCATAATACATGAGAGAGAGGCACATTAACACTGATCAGGCATAGGATAGATCAGCGAACAAGAGAACAAAACAAAACCTAACTAGCAATATGCACCAGCACAAGAATCAAATACAGTGTGTGAGAGAGACATAATTCACTCATCAAGCATAATATAAACTAGATTTTATAAAATAAATTATACCGTGTATGTATATATAACTATGAGAGTGTAGAGATTGGAGAAGACAAGAAACTCACCTCTTTTGCGATAGAAAACCGAGGAAGAAGGCAAGGAATCTGTGCGAAATTTTCTGAAGCGTTGCATCCATCGTTGCATCGTCGACGAGAAGTAACCGTCGGTGAGCCTCTGACGGCGACGGTGCCGATCGACGGCGACTCTGAAACGGTCCCTGAACCGAAGTTGCAGTGACCGAGCCTTGTCCATCCATAGATCACCTCCGTCAATCCACTCCCCAACCATCACGATCCAATCCAAAGAAAGAGAGAGTCGTTCAAAAATCTAGACAAACCTTTGAAAATTTTCTACAGAGAGAAACAAATGAACTTTAGAGAGAGATTAGAACTGTTGTTGATCCATGGTTCGTCCAGAGAGAGTGGTCAAGCGCGTGAGCGGCGAGGGAGAGAGGGGATTGTGTAGTCGGTTTTTGTAGTGTGATGTTTTCCCAAATATCGTCTGGGACCCACTGGAATACAACGTGGCAAAGACTGAGAACCCTGGGGCCAATATGGTGACTCGTAGGACGATGGTCATAAAGGCAGACTTGGCCCGTTGGTTTTCCCTTCTAGAACTATCTTTAAAGCTTTTTGACTTAACAAATTCTTAAACAAAATTCCAAAATAATACGAGTATAATAAAATCCAAATTTTCAAGTTATAAGAAAGTACATTATACTAAATTTGAATCTTTTTAATGGCAACTCCAAGAAGGTGTTGTTTGATAAAATTAAAAATTAAGCATTAGAAATTTTAAGTACTGAATTTTAAGCGCTGAAATTTTAAATACTGAATATATTAATTTAAAAACTTGTTTGATTACATTTTAATTTTAAGTACTGAATTTATTAAGATTATTTGTTATATACAAAAGTTGAAGTCTGAAAGTTATACATATTACATTTTTGCCCTTAATATCTGATACTCATAACAGTTTTATATTTATAACACAAAAATATTAATAAAACAAACACATTTACTCAATGAAATAAATAAATATATGGATTTTGTATTACATAATATTTAAAATATGTGAGTTTTGGATTGAATAATATTTAGGTAGGGTATTGAAAAGGGTGTTACAAAGATTAAGGAAAATATTTGAAAAAGAATTATTTAGGAATAAAATTCTATTATATAAATATTTGATATAAATTTTAAATCTATTGGTTTTGGATTATATAATATTTATGTATGTATGGTGTTACAGAAATTAAAGAAAGTAAAATTTAAAATATATGTGTTTTGAATTACATAATATTGATGGTATTAAAAAATGTGTTACAAAAATTAAGTAAAGTGAAAAAGAATTCTTATCTAGGAACACAATTCTATTAAATATTTTCAGGGCCTCGTGGGATTAGTCGATGTGCGCCCAAGCTGGCTCGGACACCCACAATTAACAAAAAATAAAAATAAAAATAAAAAATTAATTCTATTATAGGTTTTGTATATAAGGTGTATAGGTTTTGTATATAAAGTAAATACTTAATAAAAATATAAAGTATATAAGTTTTGGATATAAAAAAGAATGTTACAAAAGATTAAAGAACGTAAATTTTAAAATATATGGGTTTTCGATTACATGGTAAAGTATTGAAAAGAGTGTTAATAAAGTATGTGAAAGACAATTCTTCTCTGATAATAAAATTCTATTATATAAATAATTACATAATATTTTTGTAGGGTATAAAAATGGTGTGAGTATAAAAATAGTGTTAAAAATATTAAAGAAAGTTCGTGAAATTGAATAGAATTATGTTACATAAATAATTGTTTTCCAAAGTGAATCAATGTAAATGGTAATCAAAAGGCTATATACGTGTTTAAAAATTAAAATATATTAGGTAGAATTATGTTTTTTTTTTTTTTTTGGGATTTGTTACACGTAATTCATTTTCATTAGAAAAATTGTAGAGAGAAACCCTAAAAGAGATAACACAATTATATGAGGGTAGAGTAGTCATTAAAAAATTATTTTTTAAACATAACCACTTACGTTCTACGATAAGCGATAAGTAACCTTCCCCACGCTTAAAATTTTGGCCTCTTTTAAGCGTTACTTACCATGTTAAGTGGTGTCCTAAAATTTTATCAAACAAACTTATTTTTAAAAATAACTTACCATGTTTTGCATTCAATGCCAAATTAGGAAATCAAACAGGCCCGAAGTCTCTAAAAATTGCCTCTCCAAATTAGTCATGTCATTAACGTTAATTTTTAAAATATCTAATTTTTAATAAAATAAAAAAAATTTAAACAAAAAATTTAAACAATACAATATTTATTATGAATTATAAAACTTAAAACAATACAATGCAGTATGAATTTTTTTTAAAAATAATAATAATACAATGCCATTATTAAAATCAACTAGAAAAACACAACAATCGTTACAATACATATGGAAAGCTTGAGTTACTGCGTGAACGTATAGATTTTAATATCTCATTTTGGCATTCAATTAGCCATGTTTTCTGGCTTGTGTTGGCATTGATTCTGGATCTATTTGTATGATTGACATCTCTTCAGCCTTTTGTTTGTTTTGAATCACTCTTAGTTTAATTTGAAGCTTGGTATTTTCTTTATCTGCTTTGTATACCTCTCGTGCCATTTGGGCAGCTTCAAGACTTTCAGATTTAAATTGATAAAGGTTGTTGCGTCATCGAATTTACTAATGAATTCATTCTAAAATTGGCTAAAACATTTATCCTTATTTCGCCTCTACTTCGCCTCTTTTCGTCATTGTGGTCGCTGACATTCTTCAACATTTATCGGATCATTTTCGCCTATGTGCGCCGATCCTTCAACCGAACTTGGTGTCGTTGATGCATTACTTGATGAAGTATAGGGTTTGAGTAACCAATAGGCTCACTATCATCAATGTGGATTCTACCCATCTTCTTCGGTTTGTTGTTTTTTTTTTTTTTTTTTTTTTTTTTGTAATTGGATGCCGATTCGTTTTGACAATGTAAATACCATATATTGTTGTTCTTCAAAATGTTTCAACAACTGTCAAACTTAAATTTGGTGCTATTTTGACGAGCGAACAAATCTTTAGCTGCTATCAACTAAAAAAAATAAAAAATCAATAATTATTAGAAGACAAATCTTTAAAATATTTACCACTTAAATGTAATATAGTAAATAACTTACCTTGTACTCTTTGTCTTGCCCACTGGGGTGATTTCTTTTGACCTGGGCATACATTCAGAAAATTTGGTAATCATTTGTTGCATGAAGGACCAACGATTCAAGTAAGCGTTACTAACTTTTTTAGGTGTACCAGCACCACTATGTGTTGCTCAAAACTTTCATGAATTCAGTTCCATAACGCTGTCTTTTGTTGGTCTGAACCGATGACCGCATTAGAGCTAATGATCATCCACGCATAACATAAAGCTTCATCTTCAACCGTGGACCAATTGGGAGGCCGACTAACCCTTTGTTTTCTAGGAGGTTGGGGGTTACTGGATTTTGTGGCACTTCAGTAAGAATGTTACAAATTTGAGAAGGTTAATGGGACGAAAATTAAAATTCTTCTCCAACAAATTGTAAGAATGGATCAAAATTATCATTTGATTGGTTGAACTGGGAGTTGTAGTTGTGGTCCTCTTGTTATTATCGAGAATGAAACTTATACTTAGTGTTCAGTTCTATGTTGTCAAAAAGACTTTTTTTTTTTTTTTACACCACTTTTTAAATTACAAAATTGGAAATCCCATTTTGTTTAGTATGGAATCCTTTGTCTCTTTGGAAAATTGATTCTAAATATCTGAATTCTTTTGGTTGAGTTTATTACCTAAGGTTGTATTATGATATTTTAGATTCTAAGGGTCACATGAAGAAGTTCAAATTTCTAATGGCTCTTCTTGCTGTTGCATTCTAACTGTTACTTTTTTCTTCAGTTTTGTTAGTATCTGTTGATGATGGATTCTGTGCAACCTGGATCTGATCTGACTTCCTGAATAAAGAGAAGAAAAAGTGATCATACGAACACCGGTGTGTTACCGGTGGAGTAGGCTCCGACGAACAAGTCAATGTGAATGATAATCTTCCTGGGGAAATCGAGAAATTGAGTTAGGGTTTATTGCGTACCTCAAAACATTGATTCCCCCGCCTTTTTTATAGGGCTTAGGTTAAGATGTCACGTAGAATTACCTTATTGTAATCTGTAGACTTAATCCTCATCGTAATCTTTAATCCTTATCACAATCTTTAATCCTTATCGTAATCTGTAAAGCCTATCTCAATCTGTAATCCTTATCATAATCTGCAGAGCCTATTTCAATAGTGCGTTAATTTAGTAATTTTCACTTAATTATGGATATTTAAATTATACATCCATCAGTTGCCCCCCGTTTCGGAGGATTGCTTGTCAAACCACCAGAACGTTAATTTCAAAATATCACACAATAATATATAGTTAGAATTGCAGAGCCTTGTCCATTAGCCTGACTTATATTGTCATTTCGCGAATACAGTCAGGGGTCATAGTATCACATTGGCAGCTCGTATATGTGGCAAGCTCGTATATTTGTCGTATATTGGCAAGCTTGTATATTTGTCGTAGTGCCACATTGACAGCTCGTATATATGGCAAGCTGCCATGCTGGTAGTCTACCGTTATGTGGCAAGCTGCCATGCCATGCTGCCGTGGCAAGCTGTCCTGCTGGCATGCTGCCGTTATTTGTCAAGTTGCCCTGGCAGGCATGCTGCTTTTATTTGGCAAGCTGCCCTGCTGGCATGCTGCCTTTATTTGGCAAGCTGTTATGCTAGCATGCTGCCGTTATTTGGCAAGCTGCCCTGCTGGCATGCTGCCTTTATTTGGTAAGCTGTCCTACTGGCATGCTGCCGTTATTTGGCAAGCTGCTCTGCTGGCATGCTGCCTTTATTTGGCAAGTTGCCCTGCTGGCATACTGCCTTTATTTGGTAAGCTGTCCTACTGGCATGCTGCCTTTATTTGGCAAGCTGCTCTGCTGGCATGCTGCCTTTATTTGGCAAGCTGCCCTGCTGGCATACTGCTTTTATTTGGTAAGTTGTCCTACTGGCATGCTGCCTTTATTTGGCAAGCTGCTCTGCTGGCATGCTGCCTTTATTTGGCAAGCTGCCCTGCTGGCATACTGCTTTTATTTGGTAAGTTGTCCTACTGGCATACTGCCGTTATTTGGCAAGCTGCTCTGCTGGCATGCTGCCTTTATTTGGCAAGCTGCCCTATTGGCATGCTCCAATTATTTGGCAAGCTGCCCTGCTAGCATGCTACCGTTATTTTATACTTGATTTTATTGACATCTTTAGTCGACTCGTCCCTTTAATAAGGAAAGTAGATTAAGACGAGTTTCACGTAACTCGTAATAAGGTAAGTAGATGAATACGAGCTTCACTCAGCTCACCCTTTAACAGGGGAAGTAGAT